TTTGAAAAGGGTTAACTTCCTCGACGTAACTCTAGACTTACCAGGCAACACATACCAACCTTATAGAAAACCAAATGCTAACCCTTTATACATACACCCGAAGTCAAACCATCCTCCATCAATAATTAAACATATACCCTCATCAATAGAAAATAGAATTAGCATTAACTCCGCAAACAGGGAAATATTCCAACAACACAATAGCTTCTATAACACCGCCCTAAAAAATAGTGGTTATAAAAATGCTAACATTAACTACAGAGAAAATTACACTGGACATAGGAAAAAAAACAGGAAAAGAAATATCATTTGGTACACCCCTCCGTTCAACCAAAGGGTTAGTATTAAACTAGGACAGAAATTCTTATCTCTAATTAATAAACACTTCCCCACCAATAGTAAGCTTAGTAATATATTCAATAAGAACACCCTAAAATTGAGCTACAGCTGCTCTGATAATCTTGAACGCATAATAAAAAAACACAATAATAAGATCTTGAACAAACCCCCATGCCAAAACAGTATTAATAAAAACACTGCACTTAAATCAGACGATAAAAGGGGGAAATTATGCAACTGTAGAAACCCAGAAGACTGCCCATTAGAAAATAAATGTTGTATTAACTCTGTGGTATACCAATGTACTATTTCATCCACAGAGAGCCCTAGCACTAATATGATATACATTGGGTCCACAAAGAATAATTTTAAAGATAGATGGAGGCAGCATAAGTGCTCCTTTAATAATATAAACAAACGAAATCAGACTTCACTATCAAAAATATTTTGGCACCTGAAGGAAACAAATAAGACACCAAAAGTTAAATGGAAAATCATTGACAAGGCTAGAATATGTAAAGCTTGGGATGACCCATGCCCTTTGTGCCTCCATGAGAAATTGCACATCATTAAACTTCTAAATAATAATAATCTATTAAATAATAGACACGAGTTAACGGTTTTTTGTAGGCATCATCAGATTTTTGGTTTGAATTATTAGATAAAAAAAAAAAAAAAAATTTATATAACTTGTTTAACAAATAGCCCAATCATCAGATTCATAGTAGGAATAATTAACTACAAACATGCATACTACATAACACACTTCATAATCCATAGCCTAAATTAGTAGTTTAAATACCTTACATATAAGATAACCCTTCATGAAGTCGTCAAAAAACTAAACGTTACGAAAGTTTTTTTTTTTTTTTTTGTTTATATGCACAATTCCCTTTCATAATAAAATAAAATAAAATAAATAAATAAATCGCCATAGACAATCAAACTAGACGATGGACAATACATCTTCCGTTTCATTTTTGACACCCCCACCTTTCCCCGACTTGACACCCTGAAATTATCTCTATACCGCTACTTAATATAAACACCCTACACTCGCCTACCCAATTTAGAAAATTCACCATAGCTGTTACCATGGGGATTTTGATTTCAATTTTAAAACAAGTAAATTTCAGATATACGTTATTCAACAAAAATTTCGCTTTTGAGGATGGAACGGAGCCCATTTTACTTTCAACTCAATTTAATTTAAAGGATTATATTGAAGTTTTCGGCTCTAGTTTTGAAACATGAGCCCTCTTATGTAGCGATTTGGAATCATATTTTTAAATAAATAATTATATTTATCCTCTACTTTTGTATCGAGCACTATTTTTTAAAAATAATAACTAAAATACTAAGGGACTTTGGATTATTTACCTAACCAGTTCCTTCCTATTTTCTATATATTTTCATATATATATATATATATATATATATATATATATATATATATATATATATTTTAAAACAAAAAGACCACTTTAAGGGTCCATTATAATAATTTATTTCACCAATTTTCATCAATTTTTTTCTTTAAATTATTAGCTCTGAATTTATATTGACCTGTCAGGATTACCAAATTTTTCGTAACTTATATATATATATATATATATATATATATATATATATATATATATATATATATATATATAATAAAAAGGTTTAAACATTAATATTCCATATTATCTATATATATATATATATATATATATATACTATATGGTTGTATGGTCGAATCGTGGCCGCTTTTCCAGTTCCTATGAAATCACGCTTGCCATACAATCATACTAGTATTTTATTCTTTCTAAGATAGCTTCCTGTATTTACATCTGACGTTGATTGTCTTGACAGTGAGTCATTTCTTGCACGTATTGCTCTTAATTACACTAACTGAATAAAACAAGCGCAGAAAATGTCTGTACAAAAGAACTTAAAGGGAAGGAAGTGAGATTTAATTCCGATATAGAGAGCTTCCACGTTTCTTTGGTCACTCAGTAAACATTTTTTCCCCCTTCACTGGCAATGGTTCTTCGATAAACAGAACACGCCAGATATTAAACCTTTGGGCGACAATTTATTCTTGTCTGTAGAGATTTTCTTTAATGAAAGATATTCCATTCTCTTACAAGAGTCTCGTATAGCAATGTTTCTTCATTCAGTTACCATCAACTTGAATGGATGTTAATCCTTGATTTCGGTGAACACACACACACACACACACACACACACACACACATATATATATATATATATATATATATATATATATGTGTGTGTGTGTGTGTGTCAAAAATATGAATATATAACGCCTGCCGCCCCGTCTATCACAATTGAGAATTCTCTTTATTAGGATTTCTCTGATGAGCAGCCCGGTAAATGTAATACACACTGTTTAAAAAACAGGACGTCTATTCAAACAAAGGTATCCACCCAAAATAACATTTGAAATAATAGAAATGTCGGATTAAAAATAATATACAGTAATTCTTTAGTAATACACACACACACACATATATATATAGAGATAGATAGATAGATAGATAGATAGATAGATAGATATACAGGGTGCGATGTGTAAATTGTCGCCAGTTTAATTTCGCGCATGCACGTTGTTTTTTTTTTATTTTGTCGACTGCACAGTATAGTAGGGTCAGTTGGGCACCACCTGAGAGAAATAAGAGCACCATGATGTAAATCATTCGGACAGAAATTTGGAAAAGTAATGCTGTACATCTTGAAAATTCGCGCCGGAAGCTCCATTACGAACATTTCAGAGTGTTTGTGTGTCAATCTGAAGACACTTCAGAGGATTCGGAAAGAGTTCCCATGTCTCTGGGAAACGTATAACGTCGTCATCCTAACAGACGGGCGAATAATTGGTTGACTCCGTAGATGTTAAGGAAATGCAAAATGTAGCTTAGCATGCCACTTTAACAGGAGTAAAGTAGTCGCCCTAACAGACGGGCGAATAATTGGTTGCCCCCGTAGATGTTAAGGAAACACAAAATGTAGCTTAGCATGCATCTTTAACAGGAGTACAGTAGTCGCCCTAACAGACGGGAAAACTTGAAATGAGTAGCCTACGGGAGGCCTCAGCTTCACATATAGAATGGTTTTATTTTGTTCAGTTCATATTATCGGAAAATGAACTATCCCGAGAAAGTAAACTTCGTCTCATCAAATTGCTTCTTAAGCGATGACATACACTGCTCCCAATGTCATTTTGTAGTATGATAAATCCTCTTTCCGGGTCGTCATCGTTTGCCTATTTACGTCCCACATCTTAGTTACGGACCCCTTTTCAACAGCGATTTTAAAATTGCAAAAATGCAGAAGTCGCATGGAGCTAAATCTGTACTGGAAATGAAGGCGTTGATCTTCTATGTTCCTTGTCCCATCATGACGCTGGCGATCATGACTCTCCACAATATGCTCTCCTTTTTAACTCTTAATAAAGGTTGTCTTTTTGTTATCTCTCTTAAATATTGCTCAAGTTTAGTAGGTAGTTTAAGGGTGGTTTTCTTCTGTCCCTCTTACCATCAATTTATTCTGTGAATTTCAAATTTTCCGAGTCCTCTTTCTATATTATGTACCATAAAAATGTCAACTGTTTCTTCGTGATGCTAAGTATAAATGTCCTTTTCATTGCTTTTTTTTTATTCTTTCTTAAACTGCATCGTTTCCCGTATGCTCCGTCCATGATATTTTCAAGATCCATCAGGAAAACCATATTTCTGTTGCTTCAAGTCTCTTCTTCACCTGTGAGGCGATTGTGCTGCATTCGTTACCATATAGCAGGTCCGATATTAAACAACAGCTCTGTACTCTTTTATTTGTTTCTAACAATTTTTTTTCTGTTTCTTAACACTTTGCTTAGCTTGTGGAAGGCATTTTTCGCTATCCCAATATGCATTCGGATATCCGTGTCGTAACTTTCGGAGTCTGTTAAAACACTTCTCATATATTTAAATCATTGTACTTGATTGACTTTGGCATCCCCAATTTGTAATTCCCATGTTGGGCTTTTTGCTTGCGACCATGCATTCAGTCTCCTTTAAATTGATGTTTAGTCCTTTCTTTTCGCTTTCCTTCACTACCTTCTGTAAGACTTCTTGTGGATTCCTTTCCGTGTTTACGATAAACACTGCGAATATTTTGTATTAAGATTGTGGCCGCTAATAAGGAATCCTGGTGGGACTTCTAATTCTGTCAGAGTCATCTCACTATATAAGTTGAATAAGTCCGGCGAGAAGATACATCCTTGTCTTACACCCCTTTCAAATTTGGTATATTTACTGAATTCATTTTCTATCTGTATGCAGGAGGTTTGCAGTATGTATAGCTTCTGGATTGTTCTAACCTCCTTCCCACATATGTCAAGGTTACCTCGCAGTTCCAACAGATCTTTGTGAGGTACTTTGTCAAATGGTGTTGTATAATTTATGAAACATAGGCATACATCTTTTGCATTTGCATTGATCTTTATGATGTAATTCTGAGAATAAATACAGCATTTCATGTTCTAGTGTCTTTACGGAACGCGCACTGTTTTTGTCCTGTATCTGGTCTAATTCTGCTCTCCGCTATATTCATCAGAATTCGGTAAGACATCGCCCGAGTTCAACATCGTCTTACTGTGGGTCTTGGGGTGTCCATGC